ATGGGGCTGAGACGCTGTGTAATGATTTTTGTTAGTATTTTCCTTGCGTGTTCAATCAGTGTTATTGGGCGTGTAAAATTAAGATCAAAGTTGTAAGTTTGTTGTTTTGAGATTGGCCAGATATTGGCTATAAGCCAGGGTTTCGGTATAGTTTCCAGTCTGAGACAGGTATTTAAAATGTTTAGAAAAGCTAGCTTGCTTGGGTTGCTGAGGTGTTGTAACATTTCGTTTGCTATTTCTATAGGTCCAGGAGCTTTGCCATGGGGGGCATTTTTAATAGAATTGTTTAGTTCTTGGATTGTGATCGTTGTGGTGAGAGGGTTATATGTATGTAGAGATATTGTCGTAATTGGTTTATAGAAGTTTTCCCATTGTGATGCCCAGTTATCATTTGTTGCATTGGTTTTTGTCCAGTTTTGGAAGTGTGTTCTGGCTGTTTCTTTTATTTCTGTAGGGTCTGTTAAAACTTGGTCAGGTTTAATGATTTTTTCAAAGCTTATACGTCCGGCATGTCGATAAAGGATGCTATCAATCATGCGGGTAGTGTTGGTTTGGAAGTCTTTATATCTTCGATTGATGTAGTGTTGTATTTTTTCTTGTTGTGCTTGTTCTAATTCCATTTTTCGCAATCGCCAGATCATTTTGGCTGTTTCTTTTAGGTGTTGAAGTATTGTCTCGGTCGTCAGATTTGTTGTTATAGTAGTTATGGGTTCTGGGAGTGTTGTAGATGCTTTTATGATTTTGTTATTTATAATTTGTGTTAGGTAGTTCAAAGAGGTGGGCAGGTGTGTGTTTTTGCAGATATGTATTGCACTATTTATTTGTTTTAGTGCTAGATGGATTTTTGTTGCTTGTAGAGAGTGGGTATGAAAGGTACATGGCGCTGTGTAAGTAGTTGGTATGGTCTTATTAGTGCTTGTAAAATAGCATTGGATAGGATATTCCATTGCTTGTTAAGGCTGGCTGTGTCAGTGATTGGTGGTTGGTTAGAGCATTGTTGTTGTAATTTTTCTTCAATGAGTTTGGCAAAGTCTTGCCAACTTTCTTGGGACATTTGTTCATATAAGAAGATTTTCCTTTTCTTTTTTTTGGTATGCTGTTTGACTACTTTGAGATTTGTTCACCATGTGGTCAAGATAATCTTGTGGTCACTGTCTGTTATACCATCAGCATTGAGTATGTGCGGTATATTGAATTGTAGGATGATTTTGGGGTTTGTCTAAATATCATCAATCTGGCTTTGTTGATCCTGCCTTTGCCATGTGGGCGTTGTTATAGCGTGAAGATCCCGTAGGCTGGTCATAGATAAGTTGTCTAAAATGTTAAAGATTGAGTTTTGTTTCCTTTTCCTGGTTGCGTTATTATTAAAATCACCGAGTAATATAGTGTTCCATTTTTTTCTTCTTGCTTCTTGTAACCATAGGCTTATTAGGTTTTGTGTTGCTTTGTATAAGTTAGGATGATTTGACGGTAGGTAAGTTGAGATTACTCTGAGCTTTGTGTTTGCAGGTAGGAAGAAGTCAATACAAAGCGCGGTGCCTGGGTGAGTTGATATATTATGGATGTAAGGTTGGAGTTGAGGATGTAGTGCTATTGCTGTTCCCAGGCTTGCTTCTTGTGGTGCATTTTGGGTTGGTATATGGTTTGAGGTATAGATTTTATAGAGAGGATTGGATAAGGCAATTGGGTTGCTATTCTTCAGTTTGGTTTCTGTTATTGATATTAAGTGGTAGTTGTTTTGGGCACAGAATTTCAAAAAGAGTTGAAACTTGAGGTTGTCGTTGAGACCTTGGGTATTGTGTGTGATGATATTAATATGGTCAGTGATGTCTAGTGATGGAAATTTTATATTGGCATGTGAGTTGACTGATGACGAGTCTGGAGATGGTAAATCTATATCGGATGACATGCTACTCATTGGGTTTAGGTGAGTAGTTGTCAAGGATCTCCCAGTCTGGTTCGGGGGAGGTTGGGTAGTTGTAGGAGGAAGGGGGGAATTCTATTGAATGCATAGTGTTCTTTTAGTGCCGTGATGGTTGAGTCTATTTTGTCTGGATTAGTAATAGAGATTTGGATCGTGTAGTGCAATTCGAGTTGTTCTAAGTATGCAGTAATATCTTGAATTAGAGATGGGAGAGGTAGTTTTCTTGTTGAGTCTAGATTTAGACGAATTTGAATCCATTCAGTAGAGATTTGGCAAAAGAAGTAGTGCTCCTGTAGGAGTCTTGCTGTATCAACTAGTGCTTTAGGACTTGCTATTGATATTGTTAGATTTACTTTGGTAACAAGATTTGGGTCAGTTGGTAGTGGGGGTTTGTTCGTAGGGTTTGCTGTCATGTAATGAGGTGGTAGTGGTATGTTAAACTTGTATTGCTTTTGTATTTCAGCGATGAATTCTTTTGCAGAATGTGTGTTAGTAATTGAAAAGGTATACGAGTTTTCTGTTTTCACTTCTGATGGATTGTGTGGTAGGTTTTTTTTTTGTACAAAGTAGTCATTAGGGATATGACGAAAGCTATAGTGTTTTCTTAAGATGTCAAGGTATCTTCGAAATTCGGTTTCATCTGTTGGGTCACAGGAAAATAAATGTCAGACTGCTGAGCAGAGATTTTGTGATGTTGATGGGAGGCAAGGTTTGGGTTCGGGGAGTTGGAAGTAATTGGATGGAATTTGCTCTAAGATGTAGTATTTAATCAATTTTTTCTGATAATCAGATAAGTAGGGTAGGTATGATCTTTCAGTGATCGGGAATAGGTTTTTAATTTCCGGGTATAGTTTCGATGAATCATCAGGTAAGGATTCCAGTATTGTTACGAAGTATGTTTCAGGTAGTTTTTCAAATGAAAAGATTTTTCGGAGTACTAGAACTGTGGCTCGGGTGAGGTTTCGGTCTTGTATAGGAAGGGAAATGGCAGAATGTTTTGGATTGCGGGTCTATTTGGGCTGGGGTTAGTGGCAGTGGCATCAGTAGTTGGTATGGGCTTGGTTAATCAGTTTGTGTAAGTCTTCAAATTCGATGGTGTTTTGAATTTTTGCAAAATTTTGGCAGTAGTGAATGACTCGAGCGCAGTTATGAGGACTGGTCGTAAGGAAGTCGAGATTACAGATAATGTCTAGTGCGAGTTTTGTTTTCAGCTTGTTGAAGATCTGGTCTCAGTTGTGTTTGTTGATGAATCGTGCATTGTGGATCCTTTTGTATTTCTCTATAGCCATTTCGAGTAAGGAGTTAAACTCTTTTTGGTGTAATGGCTATGTAGTTTTATCTTTAGTGAAGGAACGAAAGAAAGCTATATCTAGGTAAGAGAACTTTTCTTGAATTGCATGTGGGAGGTTGTATTTGGTTGGGTTGGTTTGTGCTTTGTGTAGGAGGAAATTAGCAAGAAGCTCTTCCGAGAAAAATGCCTGGAGTATACGGTTATTATTCCATATGCTAGTGTCAAAGTTGAGGGTACGTGCTTTGGCTAATGCCAAAGAGACTGAATTAACCCAGGTACCCAATTTGTTGTTTTGGGATAAGTGTTTGGGTAAGTTGGAGGTAAGTACATTGCTGTAGGATTTCTTGGCTGGGAGTGATTCGACTATAGCATTTGATTGTGTATCCATGTTGTCAGGGTTGAGGTCTGCTGAGTTGTTTTGGAGTTCGTCTGAGGTACGTTCCGGGGTCAGAGAGGCTATTGAGTTGCTTGGGGGGCTCGGCCGGAGGTCGGTTGTGTTTTGATTGTCGATCATCATGGGTACTGACTGGGGCATGAGAATTATCTGTGTTTGGTTGTTGTTAGTTTCATTGATCGGTGCTGGTTTAGATCGGGGCATGAAAATTGATTGTATTTGGTCGTTGTTGTTGTTGTTTTGGTTCGATGATATCATAGGGGTAATTGTTGGGGGTAAACTGGGGAGCCCACTTTTATTAGAATTTTGTAAATCGAGAGGTTGGGGAATAGTAGTGGAATTGAACAGAGTTGCGTTTTGTACAGTTTTCTTTCTTTTGTGAGGGGGTGGGTTGTTTGGAGTGTTTGGGTATACTGTGATGTTCTGGGCATCTGTGGTCCCGGCAGGGTCCATCAGTGCCGTGCTTATTATTGAGGGGATGAGGAAGAGTTCGAAAGATTCTGGAGTGGCAAGAAGTGTGTCTCTGTCTCTTTTCAATGTGGTAGGTATTCCCGGGGCACTTGGTAATATTTATTTGCCTTCCGGCAGTAGTTTAGCTATAGTTTCCTTTATAATTAGTTCGTGGGCAGTTTTAAATTTTGTTTGTTTTGTTTTCCTTATGATTTACCGATAACCAGTTCCATTTTTTGTTTAGTATCTTCAAATTGTTAATAGTTTGATCTTTTTTGTTTTTGACTTTGTCTGCTATTTCAGTCTGAAAACGGCTCCATTTTTCTTGGTTCATCTTGCTATAGTAGTAGTTTTTCTTTTTCTTTCTCTTGTTTCGAGAAGAATGGGTTGTGTTATTGATTCTAGTATACCAAGATGTGTGCAAAAGGAGATGGTTGCTATCAGTAATTTGATCAGTGTCCTTTAATTGTATTGCATCGAAGTCAAGTATTATATTATCTTAGACTTATATGTCATCAATTTGACTTTGCTTTTCGCTGCATTTTTAAGTGTATTGATTATTATTGTGAAACTCAAGAAAGCTTGAGAGTCTTAAATGTTGCATAGTACTAAAAAGTTTTTTGCAAACTCTATTGCGTTTGATATTATCATTAAAGTCTCCTATAACTATAGTTTTATAGTGTTTGTTATATACAGTTGTTAGCCATTGATTGATAGTTTTAATTGTTTTTACTGCTAACTCAGGTTTATGTGCTAGTATGTATAGACCTATTATGTTTAGTTTGTGTTGTAGTAAAAAGATTTCTACTTGTATAGCAGTGCCTTGTGTTTTATTTATAGCATGTACATGTTTGAATAGATCAGGGTGGAGGGCTATCACCATGCCGAGGCTTGTCTCTTTTTTGTTTGTTTGTTCTGCTAAATAGTTAGAGCTAAGAATTTTGTAAAGTGAGTTTGATGTTGCTATCTTGTTATTGTACTTTAATTTGGTTTCAGTTAATGCTGCTATATGTATTTGTTCCTGATTTAGGTATTCTAGCACTTTTTGAAGCTTTAGGTCATTGTTTAGACCTTGTATATTGTGAGTTAAGAGATTTAGCTGTCTGAGGTTATTCATTATGAAAGGTGCAGGTTTATTGTTATTAATTATTAGTAATTCATTTTGTATGTTGTTGTTTCTGTGTGGCTTATTGGAGTTATTTTGTATTGATGTCTGTTTACTGTTCATGTTCTAACTCTTGGTTGTTTTAGCGTGATATATTTTTATCAAAAAGCTCCTATTTGGGAGCAGGTAGATCAGGTAGGTCCGAGAGATATGGTAGAAGGTGATTGACTTTGAAGTGTGTTTGTATGAATTCTGTAGCGGTGGCTACTTGTTTATAATCTATAATAGGGAAAATTAGTTTTGTTTTAAAGGGTACTTTTGTAAGTAGTTTTTGCATATCTTCTATATTGTTAGATAGCTTGAGGCTATCTGTTGTTTTTTCCTCAGTATTTTTTTATTTTTTCCTATCGGGGATTGCTAGTCATTGCTCTGGTAGTTCATGAAAATAGTAAAATTTTCTTAGCTGTCTAGCCGTGGTTACTAGATCTCTACTATTCTTAATTGGGAGAGTTATCTCAGTCTCTTTTATGTTTCTATAGTTCCAGGATAGGTCTGGTAAGTTGGTGGGGTTGACCGTCATATATTTTTTTGGAATTGGGTTGGGTATGCTATAGCTATTACTTATTTCTGCCAAGAATAATTTTGCTATTATCTTGTCTGTGATTGGAAAGGAGTAAGCTTTTTCTGTTTTTATTTCTGTAGGTTCTTTTGGCAGTCTTCTTTTATTTAATATATAGTTATTAGAGAGACATAATATTATCTAAGTATCTTAATATGTCTCTTGAAGTCTTCACTATCCTTGGGTAAAAAAAGATAAAGATGTCGAATCTTGGGGTCTACCAACTGTGGTACTAATGGTAAGGCTAGTAGTGGTTCAGAAAGGTCAAAAAAATTATCTGGTATTGGCTCATAAAAATAGTAATATTTGCTTAGTTTCGCTCTTAGTTCTCTAAGGTCTTTTAGTGATGAGTGGCTAGTTATTAGAAAAAAATTTTGAGTTTCTCAGTTTAATTGGCTAGGTCTTTCTGGGAGTGGCACTCTTGATTCCACAAAATATTCTTCAGGTAATATTCTGAATTTGAAAATTTGATGCATAGCAATCACAACTGCTTGAGTTTTTCTTCAATCATCAATAGATAAAATGAATAAAAGAGCTTTTCTGCATTCTCTTTCAATTCTGTTGGGTGTTTCTGGTAATTCGATTAGGGTAGTATTTTGCTATTCTGATATTATTCTACATATGGTATCAAATGAGATTGTTGTTTTTATTTGGGCGAATCTTATACTGTAGAAAATATGTTTAGTGATTGTTAGCTCATCTAACAAGTGAAAGTTAAGATTTTTAATTGTGTCTAGAGCTAAGCTTGACTTAAACATCTCAAAAATTTGGTCTCTATTTCTTTTGTTAGTAACAGTCACATTGTGAAGTTGTTTGTATCTGTCAATTGCTGCAAACAGGAGGCTATTAAATTCAGCTTGATGTGGTGGTATAGTTTGTCTATTTCTAGTAAATAAGCAAAAAAATACAGTATCCATAAAATGAAATTTTAGTTTTATTGCTTGTGTCATTGGGATTTGAGCTGGTTTGGTTCTGAATTTGTAAGTGATAAATTCTTGCAAAGTTTTTTAGGTTTCAAATGCATGGATTATCTTATCGTTATGCCATTCAGTTGTGTTAAATTCTTCTTCGATTTGATTAGCTTTAAATTATTTCATAGTTTGGGCCCATTCTGTAGTGTAATCATTTATTGGTTTTGTAGTCTTTTTGTCTAGCAGTTTGTCATGATAAGATGGAATAGGTGTTGTAGTTTGTGATAATATTGTGTTTATTATTTCTTGATCGTTGTGTTGTTCATTCGAGTTTTGTTTGTCAGACATTGATGTAATATCGATGATAGAACTTCCTGCATCTGTCAGAATAGTTTTTGCTTGTTGTTGGACATTGGGGTCTGCCTTTTTCGGATCTTCATATAGATTTTTTCTTGATTTGTAGTATTTGGGGTCTAGGCTCTGGTTGTTATGTTCATCATATTTTATATTCTGTATAGCATAGGAATATTCTTCCATTTCTGCTATAGGCGGTGGTTGTGTTTGTGATGATGTCATGTCTTGGCAGAAATCTGAGGTTAGAAGGTCCTCTACTTTTTGTTGTTTTTTTTCGCAAGAATTATTACTTTGGTCAGCTATTGGGTTATATCTTTGTTTTAGTTTCTTTTTATTTGAGACCTCTTTTATATTCTCATAACCAGTTGCAGTATTGTTAGTATACTTTGGTGTTTTGTTGCCTTTTTGTATTTTTGACACCAACAGAGTTAGTGACAAAGCTTGAGTATTAGTTGTTGCTAGTAAGCTTCTATCTTTTTTCTTGTTGCTCAACTTGTCTCAAGTTCTAACTATGTTCTACACACCGATAGTGTATTTTCTTAACAGGGAAAGGTTATATTAGAAGTTGTTTCATATTCTAGCTTTGTTCTTTTGTTTTTCACTTAGTAATTTCTTTGTTTACTTATGTGTTTTGGGATCTACGAAAAAGAGTTTATTTTGTTTATATTATGCATATTGGTTTTGATAGATTATACTGTAATATAATAATTATAAATAAAAATAAAATGTAAACATTTATCACTATAGCCTAGTAATGTTACTGCAGTGCACTAGGTATAACATACTATTAGTAGAGTCAAATTCATGACCTGTGAAAGCTATACACTCTAACCATTAAACTACAGAATAGGAGTGTATATAAAAATTATTTTTTTGCATTCTTTTTGAACCTTAATTTTTATCTATTTAGTCCAATAAAATTGTTTAATTTGGCCTTGTGTTTGATAATCTATAGATTATAAGAGTGGCTGTATATCATACTGCATACACTTTTGCTTTCACCTAATTTTATTGTTTCTTATAGAAATTCTTTTGTAATATCAAAATAACTAAGCATTTCTACAACCATAGTCACTTTAAATGAAGTTATTATTATAATAATAATAATAACGATAATAATGAAAATAATAATAATAATGAAAATAATAATAATAATAATAATAATAATAATAATAATAATAATAGTAATAGTAATAATAATAATAATAAGAATAATAATAAAGGGGGTCTTCATAAGTATATAAAGAAAAAAAAAAAAAGAAAAAAAAAGAAGAAAAAGAAGAAAAAAAACTATACTAATAATAATAATATTATATAGATTTCATGAACATTGGTTGTAGCATCAAGTCAATAATCTGTGTTTATTTGTTAATAAGATGCAGCTAATAGCTGTTAAATCAATCTAATGTACTTTTTTCCAGGAGCAAGAGTATAAACATTTAGTTGAAGAATATAATAGGTATTGGATATAGTTCGAGAATAGTAATATTACATTATATAAGTTGTGTCAGAGTGTAATAGTAGAGAAAGAAAGAAGAAGAAGAGAAAATAGAGAAGAAGAAAATGCAAGAAGAAGGAGAAGAATAGAAGAAGAAGAAGAGGAAAAAAGAGAGAAAGAGAGGAAAAGAGAACAAGAAGAAGAAGAGAGAAGAAAATGAAAAGAGTTTATATTTTGATTTAGAGTGATAATAATAATTATTGTAATATAGTTTTTGTGGTTTAGAATATAGAGTAGTAGTACTTTTTGTAATTTTTTTTTTCATAAATAAAATATGATATTAGTTAGTTAAACTAATTTGGGAATTGTTAAAAGTTTTGTAAGTGAAAATTGATAGAATAAGGATTTTAGAATAAAATTAAACAAGAGTTTTTTTTTTTTTTTGAATATAAATAAGCAAAATTAATACTTGATTAGGATATTAATAAAGCAAGAATAAAAGTTATAGAATTCTATAATTTTATTAAATTTTGATACTAATTCAAAATTAAAAGAAAAAGAGTTGCTAAAAAAAAATAAAAATTTCTACTTAAAAATTTTCTACTAAAACTAATTGAAATACTGCTAGGTTAGAAATATTATATCTAAAAAAAAAATTTAAATAATACTGCTAAAGCCAATTGAAAATACTACTAAAGCTGGTTGAAATACTACTACTAAAGCTAGTTGAAAATACTACTAAAGTTGGTTAAAATAAA